ACTTAAATTAGTGGTGCCTTTGAGTTCGTTATAACCGTAGTTTACTGTAGTTTGCGTTTTCTTACTAAGGCAACGTGAGACATTGGACAATGCGATGTGGAGATTGTGCAGTATTATTGTCAAGTACTACCATTGTAAAACGACATACAAACGTCTAGCTTACAGTGTTTACGTCTAGCCTGTCCTTCAAAATGGTTTATTTAACAACACAACAAACGAGGCTTTGTTGATCTCACGTTTCAATGCAACCTACATAGGTACCCCTCTGTCTCAGGCCTAACGAATGCAGAGAAAGGCTTTTGATTTAATTCAAATACAAGGAAATAAGAATGAATATTCATATTAACACTGGTAAGTTCCTGGGTAATTAGTTCAGTTATTAATCATGTTATACGGGTTAGAATATTTCAATGTAATTACATAATATGTAGAGAAAAAAAGATTGTAGATAAACATATTTTTTTATATGTGATCGATATTCTCTCAAGTATATAATTCCATTGTTCGATGTATTCGGTAAAACATTTTCGACATAAGCATAAAGGTATATTTTCGACACCAGGGGGGGTGGGGGGTGGGGTGGGGTGGGGTGGGGTGGGGGTGTGGGGGTGTGGGGGGTGGTGTGGTATTTCGCTTATCAGTATATCAACATAGTGACAACAGTTTGTGGGCTGTCGGTTTGTTCACGTGCGAAAGGTTATATACTTTACCATTAGCAGTAAACTTTATTTGTCCCAAGCTTTACCCTTGTTGTGCGAAACTGACGCGCTGACGCAATCTACATTGATAGAACAGATGTATAAGTGCAACTGTGTACTGTCTGTAATATCTGTCATCTATCTGTCTATGCCAATATTCAAACATTCCTATTGTCTGTCTCAACCACCATTTGAACATTCCGTCTGTATGTCTACCCCCGATACTTTAACTTGGTTGATTCATGTCATCGATCTCAATTGCTGGATCGATGCTCATGATATCAATCACTGGATTGTCTGGTCCAGGCTCGATTATTTACAGACCGCCGTCATATAGCTGGAATATTGCTGAGTGCGGCGTTAAACAACCAACCAACCAACCAACATTTCATTTAACTGTCTAACCGAGATGTGAACATTACGTCGTTATGTCTGAACCGATACTTTAACACTTCATCTAGCTGTCTAAACTGAGATCTGAAAATTCCGTCTATATGTCTGAACCGATACTTTAACATTTCATCTAGCTGTCTAAACTGAGATCTGAAAATTCCGTCTATATGTCTGAACCGATACTTTAACACTTCATCTAGCAGTCTAAACTGAGATCTGAACATTATGTCTATATGTCTGAACCGATACTTTACAACTCATCTAGCTGTCTAAACCGAGATCTGAAAATTCCGTCTATATGTCTGAACCGATACTTTAACACTTCATCTAGCTGTCTAAACCGAGATCTGAACATTCCGCCTATATGTCTGAACCGATACTTTAACACTTCATCTAGCTGTCTAAACGGAGATCTGAACATTCCGTCTATATGTCTGAACCGATACTTTAACACTTCATCCAGCTGTCTAAACTGAGATCTGAACATTCCGTCTATATGTCTGAACCGATACTTTAACACTTCATCTAGCTGTCTAAACCGAGATCTGAACATTCCGTCTATATGTCTGAACCGATACTTTAACACTTCATCTAGCTGTCTAAACCGAGATCTGAACATTCCGTCTATATGTCTGAACCGATACTTTAACACTTCATCTAGCTGTCTAAACCGAGATCTGAACATTCCGTCTATATGTCTGAACCGATACTTTAACACTTCATCCAGCTGTCTAAACTGAGATCTGAACATTCCGTCTATATGTCTGAACCGATACTTTAACATTTCATCTAGCTGTCTAAACTGAGATCTGAAAATTCCGTCTATATGTCTGAACCGATACTTTAACACTTCATCTAGCTGTCTAAACTGAGATCTGAACATTATGTCTATATGTCTGAACCGATACTTTACAACTCATCTAGCTGTCTAAACCGAGATCTGAAAATTCCGTCTATATGTCTGAACCGATACTTTAACACTTCATCTAGCTGTCTAAACCGAGATCTGAACATTCCGCCTATATGTCTGAACCGATACTTTAACACTTCATCTAGCTGTCTAAACGGAGATCTGAACATTCCGTCTATATGTCTGAACCGATACTTTAACACTTCATCCAGCTGTCTAAACCGAGATCTGAAAATTCCGTCTATATGTCTGAACCGATACTTTAACACTTCATCTAGCTGTCTAAACTGAGATCTGAACATTCCGTCTATATGTCTGAACCGATACTTTAACACTTCATCTAGCTGTCTAAACCGAGATCTGAACATTCCGTCTATATGTCTGAACCGATACTTTAACACTTCATCTAGCTGTCTAAACTGAGATCTGAACATTATGTCTATATGTCTGAACCGATACTTTACACTTCATCTAGCTGTCTAAACCGAGATCTGAACATTCCGTCTATATGTCTGAACCGATACTTTAACACTTCATCCAGCTGTCTAAACTGAGATCTGAACATTATGTCTATATGTCTGAACCGATACTTTAACATTTCATCTAGCTGTCTAAACCGAGATCTGAACATTATGTCTATATGTCTGAACCGATACTTTACACTTCATCTAGCTGTCTAAACCGAGATCTGAACATTCCGTCTATATGTCTGAACCGATACTTTAACACTTCATCTAGCTGTCTAAACTGAGATCTGAACATTCCGTCTATATGTCTGAACCGATACTTTAACACTTCATCTAGCTGTCTAAACTGAGATTCGGACTTTCGGTCTAACTGCTAGTCTCTCTCACAGACCCCAGAGCGTGTGTTTAATAAAACATTCACGTACGTTCCATCCCACCCCTTATCCCCTCAATTCGATCAGCCAATACCCATACCATTCTGAAGTGAGTGAGTTGGGGTGAACGCCGCTTTTAACAATATTCCAGTAAAATCAATCAGTTGATGTGTGTTGATGCTGAAGTGATGCAGGTCTCAGACGTTTACCACTTTGGTGAAACCCACGAGCACGGGTATGGTACTGACAAACCAAGAAAACTGCCACCCCCACCCGTCTAAACCATACTCGATTAAAGACACTCAATCCTACTGCTAGTCTCTCTTATGGGCCCCACAGCACATATATAATACACAATCACCGCCATATCATGCCGCTCTCCATCCTCTTCTCAGCTCTGTCAGCCTTTACTCGTATCATTCTGAGCTTCCTGAAATTAAGAGACTCGAGATGTCCTTAATACTAGAGGATTCGTTGACATTTCATCTACGGGAACGACAATTTCCTATTCTTGGGTGGGGTGTGGGGGAATGGATGGGGAGCTGGGGACTAGACATTAACCTAATTAAATTTTATATTGTATAGAAATTCACCTTGCACCAGACAATTGTTTTTAACAGTCTGAAGCATAATTATTTTTCTGTGAAAGAATTTTCTGTGACCTCCCACCCAGACTATCACATGGTCGATCCCTAACTGTCTGAACTGACATACATCTAAACATTCAACCTGTCTAAACCGACTTTCCAATCTTTTTCTTAACAGACATCTGATTCCACCTACACCCTCCCAGACAGACATATTAATCCAGTATTTTCCTTATTATTGTTATCAGCTTATACTCTCTCTCTCTCTCTCTCTCTCTCTCTCTCTCTCTCTCTCTCTCTCTCTCTCTCTCTCTCTCTCTCTCTCTCTCTCTCTCTCTCTCTCTCTCTCTCTCTCTCTCTCTCTCTCTCTCTCTCTCTCTCTCTCTCTCTCTGTTATGTACCAGCAGTTTGCAATCCCTTAAAAACTGTTCACTAACATATTTCAATATAGATAATGTTTTATTTCGTCCAATCAGCATTAACAAACATTTTACATACGTCAACAGCATAAATGGCATTATGACATTAAACATTCTTAAACTAAAATGCTACATATCATTATGTGTAATGTCACATATGGTTTTCAAAGGAGAGAACCTTCAGGTTGACAGGAGAATTATGGAACAGACAGAAGTGTCTTTATATATAGTTGTAACGAAATGCTGTAATACATCAGAACAGACACAAAAGGTCGAAGAAAAGAAGACAAGAAGAAATCAATAACAAATCAAGAGTAATGAATGTATTTGAATACATTTATATTAATATACAAGATATTCATTTCCCCCACTAGACATGGTGACGGAGCTGATATAGGCTTCCAGTCGGTAACACTCTTGATCTCCGTGCTGCTGTCTCCGTGTACCTGCTTTGTTTTTGCGCATTGTATAATTTTTAATGAATTTTTGAAGATTTATTTCCAAATTGCATTCGTGTTTATGCGGACTTCTAAAAGGTCCGTTGCACATACAAACAATAACAGAAAAATACTGTGGTCACACGGTATCTCTCCACTGGGGCTTGTATTAATTACATTAAATTGTTAGTTATGCTCAATTATCAAGCTTAATGAAAGTATTTGCCAAAGTTATGACTCATATCTGAAACAATATCGGTTAAAATTGTGATACAATGAACACGTTATAAGTAAATGGAAACCAGTTGTAATTAGATCGTCAATCACTACCACGTTTTATTCACGAAATGATATATGTTATACACTGACGTAAGATAGGTATACAGTTTTGACATTCAGAGAAACCCTAGTACATCGAAGTCGCTTAAGTCGATATATCGTTCAACACGTCGCCGCTTCGTGATCCCAACAGTATCCGTGATTGAGAGAGAGGAGAGGAGAGAGTGGGTCGGAAGAAAACGGGAATGAGAGAGGGACAGTGAGACTTAAGAGAACGGGAATGAGAGAGGGGGAGGAGAGAGTGGGACGGAAGAGAACGGGAATTAGAGAGGAGAGAGTGGGACGGAAGAGAACGGGAATGAGAGAGGAGAGAGTGGGATGTAAGAGAACGGGAATGAGAGAGTGAGAGGAGAGAGTGAGACGGAAGAGAACGGAAATGAGAGAGGGAGAGGAGAGAGTGGGACGGAAGAGAACGGGAATGAGAGAGGAGAGAGTGGGTCGGAAGAGAACGGGCATTAGAGAGGAGAGAGTGGGACGGAAGAGAACGGGAATGAGAGAGGAGAGAGTGGGTCGGAAGAGAACGGGCATTAGAGAGGAGAGAGTGGGACGGAAGAGAACGGGAATGAGAGAGGAGAGAGTGGGTCGGAAGAGAACGGGCATTAGAGAGGAGAGAGTGGGACGGAAGAGAACGGGAATGAGAGAGGAGAGAGTGGGTCGGAAGAGAACGGGCATTAGAGAGGAGAGAGTGGGACGGAAGAGAACGGGAATGAGAGAGGAGAGAGTGGGTCGGAAGAGAACGGGCATTAGAGAGGAGAGAGTGGGGCGGAAGAGAACGGGAATGAGAGAGGGAGAGAAGGGAGTGGGACGGAAGAGAACGGGAATGAGAGAATGGAGTGGGACGGAAGAGAACGGGAATGAGAGAGGGAGAGGAGTGCAACGGAAGAAAACGCAGGGGTGGGGACGGGGAGTGAGAGACAAGGAGGGAGGGAGGGAGGGAGTGGGTATAGGGAGAGCGTGGTGTCGGGGAGAGCGAGGAGGGAACCAGTAGGTGTTCTACAGCTGATGGTTTTACAGGGAAACTTGTCAGCGCGTTGCAGATAACAGAAAGTAAGCACGCATCGTATACACCATAAAACCATATCTATTTCACGTCACTTATGGAGTTCATGAGGGTTGAATTTGAAAGGATGCAGTGACAGTGTGATGGTGATGATCTTGTTTATGAAGCGTTGTTCTCGAGATGGTAAAAAATTCCCAAAGGTCGTATGGCTGAATCGTCAAGATAAGTCGAAATTCATCATGCAAGGAGCTAATTATAGAGAGGATGTACAAAAAAGTCGTAAACAAGGAAATAAATAATCTGATAAATAAGTTGTATGTTGCTGTTTTTATACGATTTATGGTTTGAAAACTTCACTGAGATAAGCGGCTGGTAATATTCAATTGTAAATCTCACATTTGTGAAATTTTGTAAGCTAAATATTAAAAGGTTTTAAACTGCCATCGATCCAACAGGAGCTTACTATATGTATGTTCTATTGGTTATACAGTCGAATTCGATAGCCGAGAAATACGATGAACCGACGATACGTTGTGCGTCTATAATGTTTATTATTTATGCAGACAGCGATAGCCACGGCCTTGTGTTGTCTGAAGACAACTTATGTTTTGCATAGTTTTAATGATTTCACAGCAAGCTGGACTCTGCGTGCAAAGACATACGAGCGACAAATAAACGTTAGCTTTTAACTCGAAAATCAGACATGATTTAAAAATGGAATTCACCGGGCGCAAACTATTACATTATGTAGGCATGAAAAATGGAGTGGCAATGTACAGGGCCATGTAATATCGTGGACAATTAACATGAATAAATGATGTCAAAAAAAACAAAAAAATGGAATGGAAGTAAATAGTATGCACTGCGAGTTCGATGGGATACAAAGTAATATGAAATATGAATAAAAAAATCAATTTAATTTAGCTTCTTCAGCAGGCACATATATTTAACAATTCGTATCCGATTTTCTTTTCGCAATTAATAAGTTTTGGTTCAAGTAAGGAAAGTCCCATCCAATTTTCGTTCGCATATGCTATTTTTCTGTGTTGCAGTTGTCCCCCTTTTCGTCCCATGTTCATGCCACGGATTACGTGCCGACGGCTTGGATAGTTGCTCACAATATCAATCACCGGATTGTCTGGACCAGATTCGATTATTTACAGACCACCGTCATATAGCCGGAATATTGCTGAATGCGGCGATAAACAACAAAGGAAGTTGATAGAAAATAACAAGACACTTTTATGAATAACAACTTCTTTATTTTGTGTAACCAGGTTTCAGAGTAATTTCTTGCTCCTTCATTAATTCAATTTCAGTTCTATACTATCAAATCAACAACGACTTTGGTACAACAGCATTTATTTACAACAATCAGAACACTATGATTTCAGATTACCGTATGTAATGTAATGCATGTTCTCTGGGGCACCATACGGACTGCTCTGACAGACATTCAGAGAGAGATATTCTTACTTGAAATTTAATAGAATGAACTTCTGAATATTGGATTGCTGAAAAATATTTTATGTTACAGATAACTTAGTTTATAGACGAAAGGTTTTCAGAAACATACATTGTTTGAAAGTTCAGAAGTTCATTCTATAAAATTTCAAGTAAGTTTCATTGGTCGGTCAATGTTCGCGAAAGGTCGTTCCGACGTGACCCATAATGGGATGTCCTCAGATCTTTGTTTATCGGTAGCGAAAACTAAGATCTGATTTAATGAGATTGACTCACATACTCGAACTACGGTTGGTGTCCGGCACCTCAGTGCTGGTCGTAAGAGGTGAGGTGAAATGGGGTTTAACGTCGCGTCCGAGATTATTGCACTTATATAGCGACGTGCATGTACGCGTGTGTGTTTGTGTGGCTGCTTGTACTAGTCCGGACTGATGCCAATTTATAGTGCTAGCTCACTGAGATACCATGCCGCAGTTTAACATGAATACCCCACTCAGACACAGTATACTGACTCCGAGCCGACCAGTCCTTGTTTTAGCCCCTCAATGCCGAGCGCCAGACAGGGTAACAACAAGTACCATCGTTCAACGTCTTTTGGTATGACGCGGTCGGGGATCGAACCCCGGACCTTCCGCTCTCCGGGCGGACGCTCTACCACTAGACCACGGAGGCGGTCGCTGGTCGTAAGAGGAGACAGCATAACAACGGGCAGTTTGGCCCTCTGACTGGGCTGCGTCACGCCGAAGACCCGGGTTCGAATCCCGACATGGGTACAATGTGTGAAGCCCATTTCTGGTGTCCCCCTCCGTGCTATTGCTGGAATATTGCTAAAAGGGGCGTAAAACCAAACTTACTCACTCACTCACTCACTCTGACTGGGCTGGCTGTGTGCCATCACGCCCCACTGGCCTGGATCGTTCATGTGTATCCAGTCACTGGCTTATGAGACCCAGACTCGATTATTTACTGGACGTGATGTTTGTTGGTTTGTTTGTTGTTTAACGCCCCTCTCAGCAATATTCCAGCTATATGACGGCGGTCTGTAAATAATCGAGTCTGGACCAGACAATCCAGTGATTGACAACATGAGCATCAATCCATGCAATTGAGATCTATGACATGCATCAACCAAAAGAAAAGTTAACTACGGCCTTGGGTATTCACCATGGTTGATGCTGGCTAAACATGAAACAAACAAGAGGTGGTTATTCGCTGGTGAAAAACTTTGGTCACATTCAATTTACAAGCGTATGCTTTCTTTTGGTCGGGATTGTTGAAATAGTGCTGACGTCACTATGCAGAATTCACTCATTTACTTTGCCGATTGCGTGTACTTTCACTGTCGACAGCTGGTTACCGCGAAAATCCATTTCCTTATAGATGACATTATCATGTTTCTAGAATATCAACATTATCGGCACCTGTTCGCTAACCGACGTTTGTCAAATGTCATGTATATTTCACTTGTCCTATTCCTCCCCTCCCTTAAGGCGGGGAATTGTAGAGGTTAGTTTAATTTTATAGCATGTATTTCGCCATTTTAGTTTAATGAAATTTAAAATAACACCGTAATAGTAACGAAATATAAAAAATAATGTGCATAAAATGTTATTGCTATTTTTTTCCAGCATTAAGAGATGCTTCATCATAATCTTTATGGAGCTAATTGCTGTTTCTGGTAATTATGTACATAAGTGCCATTAAAAAATCCTTTATCTGATAACCACATTTCGTTTTTTTCTCAAGGACTAATTTTCGGTCACGGTCTGTACAAAAGAAGAACTATAACCCGGAAATCGTCATTAACAAAATAATATATTCCTCAGTAATCAAATAAAATATTTTTAATTTGCTTATCTTTAATGAATGATGAACAATGTCAACATCTTTGATTACATGTAACATGGCTCAATTCTACGTATTACTTACCACACTGCTGATTGTTGTGTGGATGCTCATGTTCACAATAAAAATGATCAGAATTGCTTGTTTTTTCCATATTTTATATTAACCCCTGCTCTCGATCCTCATAACCCCGAGGGCCACGAGGGATATTTTGGTCATAATCAGTTACCGCCAGCAACTCTTTCTTGTGGAAGTGTTAACGTAACAGATAAGTTTTATGGCCCAGTCACAGGCTCTCCAAATAATCAAGCAGTGATAACAAATGTCATAGTATCATTTCAACAAGCAATATTGATAACTTACTTCTGTGTGGTACTATGGTTGAATTGTTAAGTTACGTCTCAACAGTATATCAATCACCATCATATTAACTAACACCAGTCATTGTTACTTGCCGTAAAAGGTGACTATGCTGGTCGTAAAAGGCGACTAACGGGATCGGGTGATCGGGTGGCCGTATCCCAATTGCATCGATCGATGCTCATGATATCAATCACTGGATTGTCTGGTTCAGACTCGATTATTTACAGACCGTTGTCATATAGCTGGAATATTGCTGAGTGCGGCGTAAAACAACAAACAAACCATTTGAAAATCTCTACATTGAAATTGAACTCGCAATTACACTTCAAAGTTGGTGGTGCGATACTTTTGAATGGGTGTATATTATCCGAGTACAAGCATCTGCCATTATTGTTGACAGTTTCGATGCTTTTTCCACATACATTGTATTTATTTTTGTGCAAGCAAGTGCAGCCATTACAAAAAAATCTTATTAAAATACAGCTACTATGCAAATGGAGCTCCTACATTCCGTATTTTCTCCCCTTTAATTTGCCATGCATTAAACTTTAATTCCTTACGTCAATAACATCATAATTATGCATTTCTGAGACATCACGTGTTACGGGGAACTTAGGATGCTGTGCGTGAGCGTTTTCTTGTATATGTTGATATAGTCTACATTCACAGCATGGTGAGCTGTGCTAATGGAGAACCATGTGGTTCATTTGATTGAGTCCATCTACATCCAGGACAAATTTTCTGTGTGGCAATTGGTGAAAGACATGATTATCGTCAACTAATTATACCGATAACGCGGCTGCTATCAGAAGATTCGTTTTTTTACATTAATGCAGTCAATAGATAACAGATGCTGGGGCAACGTAATCCGTTTCATTAAAACAGTGCATGTGTACGCATGGTCAAGTCTGGTGAAGTCACGATTCTCGGTATAGTGCAGCCCCGGCCCACTTAGTCATTGGTCACTCTTCACATAGTGTGTTAGGATTCTACTTCGGGTGTGTGTGTGTGTGTGTGTGTGTGTGTGTGTGTGTGTGTGTGTGTGTGCGATTCACTGTGCAGGGTTGCGTCCCTTGGGCACGCCAGAAACCTATGATTGTGGGTTCGAATTCCGGTTCGACCCGATTATGTTTCTAGGTTTGTCAGTACCATACCCGTGCTCGTGGGTTTCACCGTGGTAAACGTCTGAGACCTGCATCACTCCGGGCCTTCCTCCCACATTAAGCTGACCCGGCGTGATGTAACTTGAATAATGTTAAAAGCGGCGTTAAACCCAACTCACTCACTCTACTTCAGGCCTGAGTCCGCGTGGTCCT